TGGCACTCTTCCATTGACATCCAGATTTTTCGGCACCCGAGCTGCCCGGCAAAGTCGAGTAACCAAGGAAGGGAAGAAGAACCCATACCTTTTCACTAGACAACGGGTGAACATCTCCTCATGAATCATTTGGCCACGTCAAAGTTGTGACTATTTATAAAGCACCAAATTAGAGACGCTCGAGGACCATTCACCTCCGTAGTATTGGAATACGGGATCGGGCGGTTGTTGATAATATACAACCAGCACTTCCCTTCAAAGGTAAGCGTCGTTGGGTGAAACTTCTGACCATACTTCATCTAGACAATCTCCTTTCCGGGTACACATATTGTTTCAAAGAATATGTCCACTGCGTGTGTGATTTGCTATACCCCTCATAATAGTCTTCATATGGATCCACAGGAGGGGGCAGCTGGTACATCCTCCATATAGCCTCAACAGAGGCATCCACCGCCTTTCTACGCACAGTTACTATGCCATTCACATGCTCTTTTACATTTGCGTAGAACCCCTAGACAACCATCACATTTCCCTCGTCCGGCTCATCAATGAAGATTTGTATCCCCCGCCTTAGCAACTCATTATACAAGTGAGGGCATCCCAACTGGACCGACCCTATATCTACGCCCCTTTCCGGTATCGGTTTCGTAGTGGCCTTATCCGCAAAGCGGTCCTGAGCCTTGGCAGAGACAAACCTGCTACTATCAAAGAGACGAGCAAGAGTTGACATGCGCGCCCTGGACGATCCAACTTGACTGCTGGAAGAGGCACCTGTGGTTCGGCATTTCCTAGATAGATCCATAGTACCTGGAAAAAGGAATAACATTAGCACAGCCCAAAAAAAATTGTGATTCAATGCGGTTACTCAAACTTCATGCGCACAATTGGTCACAATTACTCAATTATATTCACTGAGGCATTTAAACAAACACCTTGTGGGCATTATATGCTCACACCTCATTTCAAACATGTTACAACCCCAATAACACCACAATTTTTCCCAAACACCCAGTAAGTTAAGATACAACTCCACCAACATTACCACCCACAAACATTACACAAATACTACAAACTTCTACTAAGAAAAGAAAAGAAAAGGCTACTACATAAATTAAACAAATAAAATGAAAATCTTGAAAAAAATTAAAATGGCACAAAGAAATCATACATGTAGTGAGAGAATGTGGGGAGAAGTGAAGAAGAGTAGGGGAGAGCGTGGCTTGAAACTTGGGGAAGTTGGGTTGGGAATTTGAAAAAGATGGAATTTTGAAGAAGAAGGGGGTTAGGGTTGGGGGGGGGGATTTCAGCGTTTTGGGAATATTTGGGAATGAAGAGAGGGGATTAATTAGATAGGGGTGGAAATAGAATAAAGGAAAAAAAAGTTAAACTAAAATAAAAAAACCTATTATTAAGTTTAAAAAAAATGCGTCAGGTGGGCGGGACTAGCGCGGTACGAGCGCAGCCGCGCTAGTCCAGACAGTGTACTTGGCCATATGCGCGGCCACTAGCGCGGTCGCACTAGTGTTTGAGAGCTGAGGCAGAATGTTTGCCCATATACGCGGCCTATAGTGCGGGCGCTCTCCTGGGCACGAAATTTTTTCATTTTTTCACCTGTTCTTTCCGAGTCCGGTGGACTTATCACCTGCCCAAGCTCACCTGCATTGGTTAGTATTTCCCAGACTAAAAATTAACAACTACTAACTATCATTGGGTTGCCTCCCAACCAGTGCCTTAGTTAATGTCATGGCACGACGATTACAACAAATCAATGGGTTGCCTCCCATGCAATGCCTGATTTAACGTCGCGACACGATGCAGATAAGTGCAAGGCTCGATCGACCTCTGAGGTTCAGTTAGATGGATCTCTGACACTTCCTTTGGTTCATTCATACCCACATATAGTTTCAATCTCTGTCCATTGACTCTAAATTTATGATAGTCTTTCTATGAGGCAATCTCTACAGCCCCTGAAGGGAATAATTCGACCACTCGAAATGGTCCAGACCATCGTGACTTGAGTTTACCCGGAAATAGCCTTAATATTGAGTTATAAAGCAATACCATGTCCTCGGGGTTGAAATTTTGCTCAACAATGTTCTTGTCGTTCAACCTCTTCATTCTTTCCTTGTACAACCTTGTGCTCTCAAAGGTAAGATATCGGAACTCGTCGAGCTCATGCAATTCTGTGACTCTAGTTATGCATGCAGCCTCCATGTCCAGGTTTAGCTGTTTCTTTGCCCACCAAGCTCTATGTTCTAATTCTACCGGCAAGTGGCAGGCCTTCCTGAACACCAACTTATATGGTGACATACCAATTGGTGTTTTAAAAGCAATTCTGTAGGCCCAGAGCGCATCATCTAGCTTTTTTGCCCAATCAGTTCTTGTGGCGTTCATAGTCTTGGTCAGTACACTCTTTATCTCTTGATTAGACACTTTGACCTGTCCACTGGTCTGAGCTTGATATGGTGTTTCCATCTTGTGGCGCACATCGTACTTTACTAGCAACTTCTCGAAGGCTCGATTGCAAAAGTGAGTGCCTTCGTCACTGACAATAGCTCTCGGGGTCCTAAAACGGGTGAATATATTCTTCTTCAAAAACCCCACCACCACTCTGGCATCATTGGTGGGAAGTGCTGCAGCTTCCACCTATTTGGACACGTAATCTACAACAACAAGTATGTACTTATTGCCAAAGGAGCTGACGAAGGGGCCCATGATGTCTTTCCTTCAGACACCGAACACTTCAACCTCTTGAATTGGGTTCATGGGCATCTCATGGCGACGAGAAATGTTCCCGGTTTGTTGACATTCATTACAGCCCTTCACCCATTGATGTGCATCCTTAAACACTGTTGGCCAGTAAAACCCGGCCTCTAGCACTTTCACGGCCGTCCTGACTCCTCCAAAATGCCCTCCATACGCCGATGCGTGACATGCCTGCAAAATAGAAGATTGTTCTATCTCGGGGATACACCTCCGGACAGATAAGGTTCATCCCAATAATACATGCAGCAATAACGATAAAAAATTTTCTTTTGCACAGAGGAAAGGTCATAGGGAACTATACCGCTTGCGAGATAATTTGAAAAGTTTGCATACCATGGCACCTCCTCAAGGCTTATAGCGAGTAGCTTCTCGTCTGGAAAGGTTTCCATAATATCTTCATCCTCAACTGAGTTTTTATCTCCTTCAAGTCGTGATAGATGATCAGCGACTTGGTTTTCTGTGCCCTTACGGTCACGAATTTCGAGGTTGAACTCTTTTAGTAACAGCACCCAATGAATCAGGCACAGTTTGAACTCCTTCTTCTCAATCAAGTACCTGAGAGTTGCATGATCAGTATATATAATTACCTTAGAGCCAATCAAGTATGATCTAAACTTGTCGAATGCAAACACCACAGCCAGCATCTCCTTTTCAGTCACAGTGTAGTTCAGTTGGGCTCCACCCAACGTTCTACTGACATATTAGATTGGGTGCATTAGCTTGTCTTTCCACTGTCCCAACACTGCCCCCACTGCATAGTCACTAGCGTCACACATGAGTTCAAATGGTTGCTCCCAGTCAAGGGAAACAATGATGGGTGCTGTGACAAACCTCTTTTTCAACTCCTCGAATGCTACCCTGCAATCATCAAAAAACAAGAAAGGGTGATTTTTTTCTAACAACTTACAGAGTTTTTGAGAAATCTCTTATGAACCTTCGGTAGAAGCTGGCATGCCCGAGGAAGCTCCTGATTGCCTTGACTGAAGTGGGGGTGGCAACTTTGCTATCACGTCAACTTTAGCACAATCCACCTCGATTCCCTTACTTGATACCCGGTGTCCCAATACTATGCCCTCTTGTACCATGAAATGACACTTTTCTCAATTAAGTACCAGGTTAGTCTCAATACATCTTTTTAACACTCGGGTTAGATTTATAAGGCATTCATCGAATGAGTTTCCCACCACTGAGAAATCAGCCATGAACACCTCCATTATGTCTTCGACTGTGTCAGTGAATATGGTCATCATGCACCTTTGGAATGTAGCAGGTGCATTGCATAGGCCAAAGGGCATCCTCCGAAAAGCATAAATGCCATATGGTCATGTGAAGGAGGTATTCTCTCTATCCTCTGGTGCAATGAAGATTTGATTGTACCTAGAGTACCCATCAAGAAAACAGAAGTGGGACCTCCTTGCCAGTCTTTCAAGCATCTGATCAATGAAGGGAACTGGGAAGTGGTCTTTCCGGGTGGCCAGATTTAATTTTTTGTAGTTCATGCAAATTCTCCAGCCTGTGATGGTTCTTGTAGAGATCAGCTCATTCTTATCATTTTTGGCCAACATCATGCCACCCTTCTTAGGAACACATTGCACCGGGCTAACCAGTTGCTGTCAGAGATTGAGAAAATAATTCCTGCATCCAACAACTTAATCACTTCTTTCTTCACCACTTCCTTCATATTGGGTTTCAGCCTTCTTTGGTGCTCCCTGGAAGGTTTGTGTCCCTCTTCCAGCAGAATTTTATGCATACAATATGTCGGGCTGATCCCCTTAATTTCTGCTATGGTCTACCCAATGGCAGTCTTGCACTCCTTGAGTACCTGCAAAAGTTTTTGTGCCTCCACATCTAACAAAGTAGATGAGATAATAACAGGTAATGTGGAGTTAGGTTCTAGGAACTCATACCTGAGATGGGCGGGCAGTGGCTTCAATTCTAGCTTTGGTGGTTCTTCTATGGATGGCTTGACTGGAGGAGTTTCTCTGTTGTCTAATTGCAGGGGCTTGAATTCAAGAGTTCTATCCCAAAACCCTCTACCCTCTAAAGCCAACACTCATTCTGCCAATTCTTCCCCATTCACCTCATCTAAATTTACCAGACATGCAGCAAGAGGGTCCTCAATAGTTAACGTCTCATCATCAGCTTCTACGATTACATCCATGGCATCAATAAGAGAACAATTGGCAAATTCACTTGGTCGCCTCATAGATTTCTGCACATTGAATATTATCTCCTCATCGTTCAACCTCATCTTCAGCTCCCAGTTTCACAATCAATGAGAGCTCTCCCCGTGGCTAATAACGGACTTCCCAAAATTATGGGAATTTTTTCATCCACCTTGCAATCTAGAATCACAAAATCTGCAGGGAACACAAATTTCCCCACCTGAATCAACACATCATCCAAGATACCAGAGGGTTTTTTTACGGTCCTGTCAGCCAGTTGCAATAACATAGAAGTGGGTCTAGATCTTCCAATCCCCAACCTCTTATAGATCGCCAGTGGCATAAGATTTATGCTAGCCCCCAAATCAAAAGGTGCTTTAGCAAAAACAAAGTTACCAATGGTGCAGGGAATTGTGAAATTCCCTAGGTCAGACAGCTTCTCAGCAACTGGTCTAGTCACCACAGCACTGCATGTCTGAGTAAGAGTCACTATGGACAAGTCTTGGAAATCGAATTTTCGGGACATCAAGTCCTTCATCATTTTTGCATACCCAGGCATCTCCTTCATGCCAACAGTATTTACCTAGATTTATTTCAGCATCTCCAAGAATTTCTTGTATTGTTCTGGGAATGGTGCTGGAGGTCTCTTCTTCCCAATGATTTGGGTATTTTCTTTGTCAGACACTACCTCAACTACCGGTTCCTAGGCTGTCTCAGCTGATTTCTCAGCCTCAATCTGTGTGTTGGTTTCTTCCTGGGCCGGCTGTATTGTCACCTCTGTCAGTTTCGTTGCATTATCTAGCTCAATAGGCACTGGTACAAGTGTCTTAGCTTGTCTGTTTTCTCGAGCTCTGTCTTGCTCCAAGTCTAAGTCTCTGTCATTACATAGACTCATTGCCATCAGCTACTTCGGGCCTTGATCTTTTGGATTTATTTGAGTGTCTGCAGGCAATGTCCTATGAGGACGATTATTCAAAGACATCGAAATCTGGCCCATTTGCACTTCAATATTTTTTATAGCTGACTCATGTGCATCTACCCTTTCACTCATTTTTGCATTTGACCCAATAACCTGCTGCATCATTGCCTCGAGTCTGGCAAACCCATCTTCTTGTCTTCCACCATGCTGCTGTTGAGGAGGATGATAACCCTGCTGCTGATTTTGATTATTATATCTCTGTGGCCTTTGGTAAGGCACCATATTATTGTGAAGTCGCATACCTCCCATATTTCCATTATTGAGCTGTGGCTGGACTGGCCTGTATGGCTGATTTTGTTGGCCCCAATTCTGACCACCCTGTCTCTGGCCTCCATAATTAGACACATAATTCATGTCCTCAGGGTAATGATGATGCTCACTTTAAGCATTCCACTAGTTATCAATTGGCTAACTAATGCAAGATGTGCATAAGCCCCTATCGGTAGTATCAGCAATGTGTACCTGCTGCTTCTGCCCTGACTCCTCCACCTTTTTGGTAAGTACACTCATTTGGGTCATTAATGTGGCCCTATTTTTAGCAAGAGTGTTGGATGGATCTAAAGGCACTGAGTGAACTACTGGAGTGATAGGTACATTCCTGGTTGTCCACCCCGAATTCTGTTCTATCTTTCTTTCTCTCCATGTTTTGCTCAAGAATGCTCCACCAGCCGAAGCATCAACATTACCCTTCACGTTATCTGTCAAACCCATGTAAAATCGTTGCCCCAACATCTGATCTGGAATACCATAGTGCGGACATATAACCAACATCCCCTTGAATCATTCCCATGTTTCTTGCAGTGTCTCCATTGATTTCTGTTTGAAGCTCAAAATTTCATCAATTTTTTAGCAGTTTGTTGGGTGGATGAAACTTATTCACAAATTGCTTGACTAACTCCTCCCAAGTCATTATGGAATCAATAGGGAGTAAGTTTAGCCAAGTCTAGGCAGCTCTTGTCACTGAGAATGGAAATAACAACAGCTTTATTGCTTCTTGAGTTACGTTGGGCTGCCTTTGAGTTTTGCAGATTGACAGGAAATTCTTCAAGTGCCATTGAGGATCTTTGATGTGTGGCCCCGAAAATAGTCCCTCAAGGGCAGCATGTTGTTCGTGATTTGAAACAACTCGGCCTGTATCTGTGGGACTAAAATCGTTGTGGCCGAATTCTCAGCTGTGAGTTATGCCCAGTGATATAGAGCAGCCTCTGGCACAAGAGGTGCCAATGGCGCAGCTAGGTCTAACAAATTATCCCCTATGTCCGGTTCGAGTTGTTCAGTTGATTGTTGTTGTTTGTTTTTCCGGTTGGTCCAATTCGAGGCCTTGAAAACTTTCTCGGGATCTGATAATGCTTCACATACTTCACCAGTTCTCGATGAGTTTCTAGGCATGCACCTGTGCAACCAAGTCAACAAACGTTAAAATTTCAATGTATAGATTGAAAATAAAGAAAACTGACTATACTAAGAATTTTTGTATTTCTTTCAACTGTAATTGATAACACCGTTAATTCCCCAGCAACGACGCCAAAATTTGATCACGCCCAACTATGCCTTATAAAAAGGACAAAACGGTCGCTGCAAATATAATCCGAGTATTTAGCCCAAAGTCGAATCCTTAGAGAATTAACCTACCAATTACTTTTGTTAGACTCACTAAATTCTTTGTAATCAACTTCCTAGATATTTAAATAACAATTGGTGATGGTTTAACTAACTATAACTGAATATAAGCAAGTAAACTAATAGCTAACTATGATTGAGTTGTAAACAAATAAGAGAAGGGTCTAAGGTTATGATTTCCCCTATTGATGCAATCCCTTCCTGTTATGTTTCGCATAGATTTGTCTAATCATCTCTATCGATCATGAGCACTGTTATTACCATAAATCTCTTCTGAGTAATCACAACAATTTACTAGACGCACTCTTCCGAGTTACGCTAGCTGGTTTTTATTACAACTCACTTTAGATCGCACTCAAGGCTTCGTTATCCCTAATCCCGCCTTTAAACCCTCGGTTATTGATCCCTAATATACTTTGGGAGTGATGTTGTTCAATAATTACATAAATATGCACTCTCTCACGAGTAATATATACTAAATAGGTACAGCTAATTGAGGATCTTATCAATTAACTTCAACAAGAACGTAGTTAAACAAATAGAGATTAAACTGTGCAAACTATATTAACATAACAGGAAGTTCATCCTTCAATAGGTTTCATCAAAACCCTAGACTAAATATTTAGCTACTCATAGTAAAGCAAGATAAAACCACAAAAGTATTCATACTGTGCAAATAAAGATAACAAAGAGAAGATTGAAAAACTCTAATGGTTAATTGATCTTCTCACACTTGTTCTTGCCTCCAATTCAATCTAAAACCCTTGATAATGTCCCTTTGGGCGAGCTGGACCTCTTATAGGTTAAGTGGAATTACCCCCGAACTTCCAAGTTTACCCCTGAATTATATTTTTTCAAACTGGACTAGCGCGGTCGCGCTACTGACCGCGCATATGGCATAGTATTCTGCCTCGAACTCCTGGGCTAGCGCGGGCGCGCTAGTGGTCGCGCTAGTGGATCATCATTTCATCTCTTCTTTTCTCTCTTCTTTCAACGTACTCAGCTCCGAGGGGCTTCCCTTGCTTCAATTTAGCTCCAAATACAGTCCTAAGTCCTTGTACGTGCAACTCGCTCCTGCAAAACATGAAATTCACAATTACAGCCAATCTATCATCATATAACTATCCTACAACAGTGAAACATTGTCAAGCTGGGGCAAAAACAGTTGCCAAATTACATGAATCTAGCATATTATCACTTCCCCTATCTTGTCATCAATGGAAGCCACATGCACCTTCTCCCGAATATCATTATTCCTAATCTTATACATCCTAGTATGCCCGCACATCCACCTCAACATCCTCATTTCTGCTACTTTCATTTTCTGGATATGTGAGTTCTTAACAGGCCAACACTCATCTACATACATCATGGACCGTCTAACCACCGCTTTATAGAACTTACCTTTGAATATCGGCGGCACTCTCTTGTCACACAGGTCTCCAGATGCTAACCTCCACTTTATCCTTCCTACCCCAATACGATGTGTGACATCCTCGTCGATCTCCCCCCCCCCCC